GTGCTAAGCTTTCGTCCGTCATTTGACGAACATCATCAGAGCAAGGTATCATCGTCACAACCAAATTCAATCTAACGAGTCAAGAAAACTCACCGGCATATTCCTAAAAAGTAGTATCTATACTCTACATCTGGCTCACCAAATCACTTTTACTTGAGCAGAGTCCAGATGTAGAGTATATATACCACTTTATGGGGATTTGCCGGTGAGTTTTCTTGACTAGTTAGCTTGAATTTGCTTGTGAAGATGATACATTGCTCTGACGATGTTCGTCATATGACGCACTAAAGCTTAGCACCTTGTCACCGGAATCGAAGGAAATTGCCTCGGGAACGGAGTCAACCTGAATGTTTCAGCCAATCGACAGATGGTCAAGAGGAATCCACCGTCGTCTTCTGGTGGTGTGACCTTCGAATCTCTTCACTTAACACTTTCACTTGAAATTGAAATAAGCTCAACATTTATAAAACAACATATTCCTCGAAATACAACTTTTATTCGCAAATAATACAACATTTGCTCAAAATGTTGCCTCGTTGACGAGTTGTGGTTCGATGCCAAAAATAAAATTAGTGGCAAAAAACACAAAACGAAGTTGGTCATAAGTTGTACTGAAAATACCACAAAATTGTGGCCAAGCCAAAGAACACACCATTTTGGTGGTCGTCTACAAATTCGTGTCTACTAATTATTTTCTTCATTTGTACTCCTGTTTAGTAGCGTTGTCGAGCTGGATGCTGGATGCTGGATGCTTGAAAAATGGTACAAGTGGCAAGCAGAGAAGAGGGTACAGAAAGCACTTTAAAGAGACAAATTAACTTACGACACCCTCAGCTTTTCTCGTTCACTGACAGCTTCGTTTCTGTGCAGCACGCCCAAGATTTGGTCCTGCTCTTCTGGCGTCAATCGTTGCTCGGCTCGCCACTGGCCCAGCTGCGCTCTCGACGACCATCCAGTGCCCAGACTTTGGGGAAAATTAAAAGCAATTTGAGTATATTTAACTCTTATTTGGAAGATAAATTTAAGTTTTCCTGCTTAAAAGTGGACTAGATTTCTCCCAATTTTAAGTCAAATGAGCCGCTTCACTCTGCTCGAAGCGAAGAGTTTGCATTTTTTTGTCGTTGTTGAAGCTTCTGAAATTAACGCTCGGTTGACTGACAGCTTTGGCGCATTTATGGGCAAAAGGTTAAAGCAGGATGAAGCGATTATGACTGCAATATACCAATAGAATATGGAAATCAGAAATCTAAACGACTCCTTGGCAAGCTTTAGCAACACAACCGTGGGGCGTGATCCAGATGAAGCGGGCTATTATTTTCTCCTTGCCATGTATCCCTTTTGAAGCATTCCATCCTCAAAGAAAGTTGAATGGATATAATGAGTGACCTCAGCAAGGATTTAATTATCTGTTGCCCCAGGGCCATGTACAGGGTTTAAAGTGAGCCTTACTATTTTCTGTAGTGGATAGCGGCCGTGGCCAACAAGAAAGAGGAAGTGGCAGATAAGAAAAAGAGGGAAAAATAGAGGAGGAATCGGACAATAAAGAGGTGGCGGAAGTTAAAGATGAGAAAAGGAAAGTCAAAAAGATGGAGAAAAAGAAGAAGGGGAATATGGAGATGGAGTATGAAGAAGGAAAAGTAGGTAATGCTTTAAATTTCACATCTTCCCTGTAACTTAGTGGCACATGTGGCCGTGTAGCGGAGGGTAGTGGAGTGCTAACACCGTCACGATACTCAAGGCCCAGGTTCGAATCCCGCTGAGTGTGGTGATGAGACCTTGTCGAGACAGAAATGGCCGTGCATTCTGAAGGAGATAAGTGTTTAGAAGGCAAAGCTCAGTGAAATCCAAGGAAATTGTGAGACCTACTCGTCTGACGAAATGGGAAATCTTAAATAGCAGATACGAAGAGAATCTGGGTTTAGATGAATCTCCTGAGATAACATTTGACTTTTACAAGAATGACACCCAGCTCTGATGATGTCCATCATATGATGGATGAAAGCCTAGCACGTTTTCACCCGAAACGAGGAAGCAAGTCCCGTGGACTGCGTCAACATGAATATCCTATACAATCCAACCGGCTGCAGTACAACGAGTTTC